GGGGGGGGTTCGTGCGTCCCCACGCCACGAGAAGAGAAGGCGGGCGGGACAAGCGAAGGAAGAGGGGGGCGCGAGCAACAGCAACGGCGGAAGGGCGCCCGAAGGGGAGGCGGCACGCGGCGAGGGGCACGAGCGACCAGCAAAAAAGAAGAGAAAAGAAAAGAGGCAAAAAAAAAAAAGGAGCAGATAAAAGCCGGACGCATCGCCCCCCGCCCGCCCCTCACGCACGTCCTGCAGGCGCACGTCCTGCAGGCGGAGTTGTGGGGTCGGGCGTCTCTTGTCGGGCTTCCGTTTTTCCTCCGCCCCCCTGCAGCCCCCTGCGGACGGCCTGCCAGCCGCAGACGGGCCGCCGCGGCGCACGGGACGACAAGTACCGAAACGAGGGGAAAACTAAAAAAGGCAGGCAACAACAACCGCCAAACGCGAGAAGAAGAAAAAAGGGGGAGGGGGCGCTGCGCCGCCGCAGGTACGTGCAGGAACAATAAAGGGGGAAGGAAAAAAAAAAGCGCGACAGCGGTTAAAATTTTGAAAGGAAAACAACAAAGAAAGGGGAAAAAAAGACGGCATGGGGGCAACAAATGCGTCTGCCGCTGCAAGCGCGGGCTGAGGTTGAGCGGCCGCGTGACGCCGACTGGCTCCTCGCCGAGCGCCCACCACCACCACCCCCGCTTCTCCTGCTCGGTCGCCTGCCACCACCGCCAGTGGTGATGATGGAGATTCTATACTTCCTTCCCTCACTCGATTACTCGCCTGCTCGTTTTCACTCGTCTTTCATTGATGCTGTTCTGGTTGTTTTTTGTTTTTGTTTTTTCACTTCTTCTTCTTCTTCTTTCTTTTTTGCTCGGTTTTTTTTTTCTTCTTTGCGTGCGTGTGCGTTTCCTCCCCCTGGGGCTACGAGAGCGTCATAACGTACACATTGCCGAAACTGTCCCCAAATACGGCCTTCTCCTTGTAACCAACCGCCAAACAGTACACGGGAGCCTTGCAGAACTCGCTGTAATGCTCATGACCGTCAACGTCGAGAATATACACGTAGCGGTTTGTGCAGGCCACTATAATGTACTGCGTGAAGGCGCCGGGTGCGGCGGAGGAAAACGTCCACCTCAGCTTCCCGGCACGGGCCGCGGCACGTGGCACGCCAGCGACCTTCGTGACGGCTAGGCGGAGCTTGCACAACCCGCTGGCGGCGATCCAGACGCAAAGGTGCACCTCATCGTTACTGACAATATACTTTCCATCGGAGGTGTAACTACACGCCAAAATAATTCCAGTGTGGCCTCGCATCGTAAGTTTCATCTTGCCGCTCGTTGCCGACCACACCTGTAGGGTTCGGTCGGCGGATGTGCTACACACGCATGCCCCGTCGGGGCTATATGCCACGCTGACAATGATTCCAGCATGGTGCGTGTACTTTACGCGTTCCCGCGCCGTCCGGGTGTCCCAGACGCGGCAGACGCGGTCTTGGCACCCCGAAACCACCGTCTTACTGTCTGGGGCAAAGCAGCAGCAAATCACAACCATTTCATGCTGCAGTACGTACAGTAGCTTGCCTGTGTTGGCGTCCCATAACGCCATGGTGAAGTCTTTGCTGGTGGTGGCAAGGTACTTCCCGTCCGGGGAGATGGCGGCGGCGATGACGTTGTCGCGGTGACCGGTGAAGATGCCCTCCTCCTCTCCAGTCACAAGGCTGCGCAGCGTGACCGAGGCGTCCTCGTTGGAGCAACTCACCAAACTACGCTCTACAGGGGACACAGAAAGGCACCGCACGCGAAATGCGTGCCCAATCAACGTCTCCACCTTGACGCCCCGCAGCGGGCGGCAGGAGGTCTTCGCCGACTTTTCCTCGTTGGCGCGCAGCATCGCGACAACCGTGTTGGGAGCCGTGCTAAACGTTTTCATGACGGTGGCCCCCAACAAAACCGCCTGCTGCGCCCTATTCCCAAACGCCAGCTGCTGCATTGCGAGGCTACCCGTCGGCTGATCCACCGTCATGTCCACCTCGTCAACGCACACGTTGAAGTCGGTGAAGTGGAACAAGTTGTCTGACGCGGCGCCGTCGTTGGGTTTCCGCGAGGCCCGCCTGGAGGTCTGCGGTCGACGCCCCTCGATGCGCCAGTGCCGCGTCTGGGCTTCGTTCTTCGAAACGACGACGTCGTCGTAGACGAAGAGGTCCTCCTCTATGGAGGGCGGCACCTCGTTGCGCTTCCGCTCCAGGTCGTCCGACTTGAAGGGGAAGGGGCCGCCCGGCGCGCCGCCGCCGCCGCCCTCGCTGCTCCGCGTGGAGATGCTGTTGGTGATGTCGGAGAGCTCCTCGTCCGTCGTCGTCGCCGCCTCCTCCGCCGCCGCGTCACCGTCGCCGCGCAGCGACGCCGCCTCCTTCCCGCCCACCGGCGACAGCTGCACTGCGGCCCCCCGCCCCCACGGCAGGCCGAAATTCACCGCATCGTAGTCGTGCAAGGGCTCGTCGGAGCCCCGGCGCCGCGCGCTGCTACTGCCGCAGCCCATACAGCGCCCCCCGTCCGCAGAACCCCGGCTGTCCGTGCCCCTCCGCTTAGCTGTCGCCACGGGCACAGCAGGATGTCGCCCCCGCGCAGAACCAGAGAGATATATATATGCGTGTATGTGCACTGGCGTTTGCCCCGCCAAACGGGGTGAGTCGCACGATCGCTCTTTTGACGTGTCCCCCGCCTCGCTCCCCCCGCAAACTTCACAGTCGCTGCAGGAGTGTGAGGCAGCGGCGCGGCACGCCCACCCACGCCCCAAGTCAAGGCAGAGGCGAGAAAAGAAGGAGGGAAAAAGAGAAGAGCAGTCCACAGCAGCAACGCGCCGAGGCAGCCCCGCGGCCCCCGCCCACACCTGGCGTTACCAAACACCGTCGGGCGCAGGGAAAACTCACTCTGCATGAGCAAACCCCAAACAAAGAGGACACAGCTGCACATACACACGCACACAAGACGTTATACCAAACAAATCACAAGGAGAGAAGCGGATCTGACACACACACACACACAGAGAGAGAGGGGAGAGGAAGAGAGGAAGGGAAGAAGAAAAAATAGAAATAAAACAAAAAAAAGAATCCCCAGTCCCCATGGCGGATGTTTTTCTCATCGAGAAAGAGGCGTCAGGAGCATGTCGCTTTGATCTAAACATGCCCTTTACCTTTTTCTCTCTATCGTCCTCCAGACCTCTTTTCTTTTCTTTTTTTCTTTTTCCCACTTCCGCTCGCGTCTTTTTCCGCGCGACAGCCTGTGTGTGTGTGTGTGTTCGTATGTACTCCTTTTTCCCTTCATCCCTCGTTTCTTATCCCTCCCCTTTCGTTCTACGGTGTTTCTTTCTTGACCTTGTTTTCTTCTTTCTTATTCTTCTTCTGCTTTTCGCGCTTCACTCGTGCCTTCGTGGGTGTTTCTGGGGCACGCGTGCAAGCGTGTGAGGGTGAGAGAGTGAGAGAGTGAGCAGCGACAGAGGGGCTCGTGGCGGCGGCGGCGGTGAGTCCCACACATCTTTTCCCCCTCCCTCACGCACGCGCCCGCTCCGCTGCTTCTATCTATTCGCTCTGCTTCTACTTTCTCTTCTTCTACTTCGTGGTGAATTGAACACGCATGGACCGCCACACACAGCTGCGGCTATGCATTTGGTAAAGGGACGGGAGTGCATCTACGCGGGTTACATGTGCATGAGGAAGCACTCATATCTACGGGCGTTGTGACGGTGGGGAAAGACAGTCCCCATAACAAACAAGCAACCAAAAACAAATAAATAAATATGCGGGACAAGCTACAACGTCTAGAGCAGCATTCGCATAACGACTTCAGCGGTGCATCTACAACACACACCACCTTACGAGGGATGCGGTATACGGCACCCACCCGCCCACACACACACGCACACAGGGGCACACAAGTGTAACTATCTTCTGTGACGGCGCGTGCTTTGTGCGTTTTAGCATGTGCCTGTAGCAAAGCGCCTCTCTCTCTCCCTCTCTGCGCGTGCGTGCGTGCGTGCGTGCGTGCGTGCGTGCGTGGACGGGAGGTGCATTTGTATTTGTGAGCCACACACCCGCCCGCCCCGCCCCACGCCTCTTCCCTCCGCTTCCTAAGATTCCTGTGGCTGCGGCTACAGCTCGCGGTTTTGAATGAGTTCGCAGAGGATTTCTTTGGTGTACAGCAGCCGCGTCGAAATTTCATCCGAGCGCGAGGCAGCTGAGGAGAGCGGCAGTGTGACGCGGTGCCCCGAGGCGTCGGTGTACGTCACAACCCGCGACTCCGAGGTGAGAATGATCTCCGCCTTGTCATGAAAGCAAACCTGAATCGTCCTGTTGGAGAGACGGAAGATCATTGCGTGCGGGGTGAGCAGCCAGCGCTTGACGTACACAATGTTCTCAATCATGTTCGGCTTGCTAAGCAGCACGGGTTCCTGATCCGCGTACGGCGAACAACGCACCACCTCCACCCCCTCGCGCCCATTGCGGCCGCGCGACAGGTAGAACCTAAAGTGCTTGATCAGCGTCACCTTCTTTTTTAGGCTCTCGGGGAAGCTTTCCATGTGAAACGACTGCCTTTGGTCTCGCGCGTGCACAAATTTGGCGTTGTTGCGCGTCACCACCTCCTTGATCCGCGCGTAGTACTCCACACGGCCCGTGATAGCCTCCCACACCATTTTCGTGGAGTCGTTGAAGTGCACCCCGGTGTGGCTCGTGCTCAGCCGGTAGCAGAGTCCGTACCTGGCGGAGAAATCGGCGTAGTCCGTCACCCACACGGATGGGAGCGGAAACGCGTCCTGCGCCTCCTCTTCGTCCTCCTCCGCCAAAACTACGCCGCCGCCGCCGCCGCCTGTCTTCGCCGGGGGAATGGGCCTCGGCGCCCTTGCGGCTGCAGTCCGCGGCGGGGGCATGTGCGGGCGCTCCTCACAGTGAACTTCGATCGCGCCGAGGAGAGTTTTGTGCAGGTGATCGTGCACGGCGGTGAGGTGGTCCCGCTCCTCCTCTTCCAGCATATACTGCGCCACCCGGGGCGTCGTTGCACGTCGCTCCCCCTTCGGCACTGCTTGCGGCAAGGGACGCGCAGAGTCCACGCAGGCCGCGTCGCCCGAGATCGCCACCCGCTTCGGGTTGTGGGCGGTGGCGGGCGTGGTACCGTAGAAGAGGTCTTGGGGCTTGGTCTCAGTGCGGGCCGGCTGCCGCGCCGCTGTCGCCAAGGTGTTCACGCTGAGCGGCCGCAGCACCTCCCGCTGCGGCGGTGCCCCGCCAGCGGCGTCAGACTCCCTACGTGGCGGCTGCGGCTGCGCATCCGTCTCCGTGCGGCGGCGTGGCAAGTGAAACAGCGAGAGCGGCGCGCTGGTCGGGGGCGTTGGGGAGCGGAAGAAGGCGTGGTTGCGTATCTCCACAATCGTCGGACGATGATCAGGGCGGCTCTGTAAAATGCGATGGATGAGCTCCTTCCCGCTTTCTGGGATTTCCAGCCGGGGCGGGAACTCGTACCGGCACTGCTTGATGCGGCGGTAGGTCGCCTTGACGTCGGAGGTCTGGAAGGGCGGCTCCCCCACCAGCAGGGTGTAGAGGATGACGCCCAGGGACCAGATGTCCACCTCGTAGCTGTGCCCCTCGTGGGCGCTGTCGATGATCTCGGGGGCAATGTAGTTGGGCGTGCCACAAATCGTCCGCTTCCGCTCCCCGTCGTATTGAAGCTCCGCTGCGAGGCCAAAGTCGCCTATTTTCACATTCATGTCGGCGTCCATCATCATGTTCCCCAGCTTGAGGTCGCGGTGGATGACGGCCTGGCCATGCATGTAGTGAATCGCGGCGAGCGACTGCAGCATGATATGCTGCGTCTCGGGCACGGTGAAGCGCGGCCGGCGCTTTGAGATCTCCATCAGAGTCTGGTTGCTGCACTTCTCTAGCAAGATGTACACGTTCCAGTCGTCCTGAAAGGTGCGAATGAAGTTGACGATGTTCTTGTGCTTCATGCGGCGGTGGATCGAGATCTCCGAGTGCAGCTTCTGCAGCGTCTTGGTCTTCTGCAGGATGGCGCGGTCAATCACCTTGAGCGCGTACGACTCCCCGTCCTGCTCCACCTCGTAGCACTTCGCAAACCCGCCCCGGCCGAGCAGCCGGCCGCAGCGAAAGCGACCAACAACGCGGCCCTGCTTGTCAAGCTCCTTCAGCGTGGACCCCTCGCAGAAGTCCGGCTTCTCGCTGAGCGGCTGGTGCGCCGAGGAATACCGCCGCGCCGGCATCATCGGCGGCCGCGGATGCGTGCCGTGCGCCCCAACCATTTCGCCCCCGCCGCAGTGGAGGCGAAAAAAAGATCTAAACGTGGGAGAATAAATCAATCAAAAGTCACAAGCGCCCAAAGAAGCGCGCGAAGAACTGGATGAGTGAGTGCTTCTGTGTGAGTGTGAGTGTGAGTGGGAGTATATCTATCTATCGTTCCCCGCTCCCCTCTCTCGCCCGCCGTGTGAGAGAGTGAGTGAATGAGTGAGTGAGTGAGGACGGGCAGGCAGGCGGCGAAGGCAACGGAACGCGGAGGAACAACTTCCCCCTTACAGCTCTAAAAACGTCAACGGTGTGTGGCGCCGCGCCGAAGAAAACCGTTTCCGCAGCAGCCAACGGGATCTCGCAGAGTGCAGCCCGCAGGTGTCGCCCGCCGCTTCTGCCTTCTCCCCCCTGTCGATCTAACCTTCGCTTGCAAGGGAGGGGGTGTGCGTCTCGCTTCCTCTGCGCGCAGGCGAGGGCTAAGGCCACGCTGCAGCAGCGAGGGCGGGAGGGACGCAAGAGAAACGCAAGAAAGTGGGGGGAGAAGAAAGGGAGTTTTTCCTTCGTTTTGTTTCTCTCGTTCTTTCGTTCTTCGAGGCGCACAGCACCGCGAGGAACGCAGGCAAAATGTTCGCGGCGAAAGGCAGGCAGCGCCGTGGCAACACCGCAATGAGAAAATAAAAAGAAGGAACGCGGGCGACGACGGGAGGAAGAACGAACTCCACACGCAGAAAAATAAGACGGCAAACGGAACCTGAGGTAGAAGCAGCCATAAATAAAAAAGAAAAACAAACAAACAAAGAAAACATTCTTTAAAAAAAAAGACAGAAAGCAAGTTGAATGAGTGATTCCTGTCATGTGCGTCCCCGGTCCTCGTCCCACTTCGCTTTACTTCACTGTTCAGTTCCTCTACGTACTTTGCGCCAGGCGGTCGCCACTCCACCAGCCGCGTCGCTGCCCGCCCAGTCACGTGGCGATGGCGCAGGCTGCACGCCAATGCAGTCCGTTAGTTCACCGCCCGTTATACCCGCTGCACCCACTCCGGCGGCGGCCATTGGGTTCGCCAGCTCCTCCGCGAAGACAAATGTGTGGTGTAGCCCACTCTTTACATTGGTGACATTGAGATCCTTCAGTGAGGGCACAAGACGGAACTGGCGGAGGACCTTGCCTTCTTGCGCCTTGCTGCATATGTTAGGGCCCCCGCTGCCCGCCCCCCCGCTCGCCGTTCTATTCGGCTCGCCAAAGGTGAAAACCTGCCCGTGCGGGGCCCGTGGCCTGCCGCTGTGGTCCAACCTGCAGCACGGGCGCTGGCACCACGACTGTGGCCCCTGCATCACCACCACCGTGTGTTGCCGGCCGCAGGAAATTGCCTTGGCGACGCCGCCTGCCACAAACTCGAGGTTCACAACCCGGTACGGAGAGGTAACCGCGTCGACGCTGGACTTCGCCCCACACTGACCACTGGCGTTGTCGCCCCAACAGTACACCGCCCCGCGCTCCGTCAACGCCACGGTGTGGAAGGACCCACAGGCCACATCCACCACGCGCTGCCCAGTGAGGGCGCCGCGCACCTTGGTTGGCACCAGCGCCGGTTCCTTGTCACCGTGCCCAAGACGGCCCTGGTACCCAACCCCCCACGTAAAAAGTTCGCCGGCCGTGTTGATTACCCCACTGTGCCACTGCCCCGCATGCACGCGGATGAGTTTGTGGTCCGTCGGCACCCGCACAACCTGCGGAACCAATACCACCGTTCGCTTCTCCGTGCTGAGGGACTCGCTGATGATGGAGGGGTCCTTGATCGCCGCCCGCACCTCCTCCGTGGACCCCAATCCCAGGCACTCTAGCAGGCCCCAGCTGTACAGTGTCCCTTCGTCGTCGAGCGCCAAACTAAAAAAGCTCCCACAGCCCAACTGCACAATGCGTTTTCCCTCCAGCGTCTTAACAAGAGTTGGCTCCTCCACCTTTCGCAGGGAGTAGCCAAAGTACTGTGGTCCGAGACCGCTCTGTCCGTGATTGTTGTTTCCCCAAAAGTAGACCCGATGATCTGCGGTGAGGGCCATGGCAAAGGCGTAGCCCGCAGCGAGATGCACGGCCGCGTGCTGCTCAAACAGTGGAATGCGCTGTGGCACCGTCACCACCGCCGACTTGTCATCCGGATGCTCGTCAAGCTCGCGTGGCATGCCAAGCCCAAGCTGGCCCCAGTCCCCGTTTCCAAACGTGTAAATGTTGCCGTCGTCGGAGAGGGCGCAACTGTAGTTGGCGCCGAGGGCAACATCCAGCACACGCACGCCAAAGGGGGTAATCTGCGCGAGAGTTGGTGTGCTGCAGTCCTGAAATCGCTGCGTCCCCAACTCCCCCGAGGTGCCAGAGCCCCAGCTGTACAGCAGCTGCCGCTTCATCTGCCGCTCCGGCGCAAGCTGCTGCACCACCCCCTGCAAGTTCAAGTACTCTGCGACTGCCAAGACGCCAGCGGCTGGGGTGCCGGGTGGGATGACAAGCACGTTGTGTCTCAGGTAATTCAGTATAGGGCCAAAATAGAGTGGGTCAAGGTCAAGCAGGATAGCGCAATCTAAATCCCTGTCTACGGGAGCCATGCGCTCCATCTCGGTATGAGCCAGTAATGCTAGTAGGCTATCACGCTCCGAAAAGAGCGTGGCTAACGTTGTAGTGAAGTACGTCCCACCAACATTCAGCTTCACCCAGTCACGCTTGCGTGGGACAACGTCACTCACCGCCGTCTGCGAGTCATCCTGCTGGGAGTCTGTGGACTTGTCGCCGCTATCGCTGCAGGGAGCTTGCCCAGGCAAGAGATTGTGGGGGTCCACGTGCATGCTGCCACGCCTTTTCACTTCTCCCTCAACTGGCCCCTTTTCCATTGTATTGGGAAATTACTTCTTTTGCAGTTGTTGTTTTATATTCCTCTTTTTTCGTTTCTTTTTTTTTCTCACCTCTTCGTGCGCGCAAGAGTGTGCGTGTGTCTCGTTTGTGCCGCTGCTGCCTTCACGGCGGTTTTTCTAAGCCGCGTGTGTGCCGCCGTGTGGCGCCGCACGCCGCACGCAAAAGGACAGAGAGGCCGCGGCAGCGGCTGGAGGAGGAGGCGGAGGCGGCGAAGTGTTTTGTCCCGCGAAAGGGCCCGTCTCCGCCTCGCCTTCGTTCCCTTTTTTTTTCTGTTTTGCTTTTGTTTTTTCCCCCGCTGCGAGGCGGCGGCGGAAGAAAAAAAAAAAGAAGAAGAAGCCGACGAGAGGGGGCGGGAGGAGGCGGCACCGTCGCAGAGGGGCGGGGGGCGGGGCGGGGACTCCACCGTCGCCCCGCGGCGGCGGGGGCGGAGGGGAATCGCCGGGGGCGCCCCGCCCACAAACACGCAGGCAGGCGGGGCGAATAAAAAAAAAAAAAAAGAAAAAACGAAAAGTGGGAAGTAAAGAACGAAAAAAAAAGGGAAAAGACAAAAAAAAAGGAAAAAAAGAAGAACTGCAGCAAAAAAAGCCGCAGAGGGGGTCGCAAAGAGACGCCACGAGCACAAAAAAGACAGCAGCTCTCCCCCCACCCCCTGCACGGCACCGCGGGCGGCTGGCGTGGAAGCTAAATTTTACCGCAGCCGCCATAATGCCTCTCTCTATCGCTCGCTATGCCTCTCTCGCCCGCTGCGCTGGGGTGCGTTCCCACGGTCACTTTCGCCGCTTCCGCCACCCTTTGGACGGCGAGGCACCCCCCGCACCACTCAGTGGACGAAGTGCCGGCGCAACAGAGCAAAAAAGAAAAAAAACACGCACACACACACAAGAAGGCACCAAGGAAAAAAAAACTCCATACTGGCCCGTAAGGCAAAAAACACACACTATCGGGCGAAGAAAGGGGAAAAAGTAAAAGTACAGCTGGCGCCACATTGTACATATTTGACACTCCTTTTTCTTCTAGTACTACTTCCGTGTGTTTGTGTTGGCTCGTCCCATTTTTATTTTATGTTGTTTTTTCTTTCCTTTTTTTTTTCGTTTACCGCTGCTGCTGCTGCTTTCGCCACACCCCGGCACCTGCGTGTACGCAATACTACCGGTGCTGCTTCCGGCGTGGGGCCGCACCGGCGGCAAGAGCGCAGTGGTGGTGGTGGTGGTGGTGGTGGAGGGACAAACAGAGGGAGAGTTACACGACCGCCGCCACGCATCGTCAGGGAAAGCCCCGCCCGCACACACGCAGGCACCACCGCGCTTCCAAAGATGGCACCTGGGCAGGAAAGTCCCCTTCACCCCACTTTTCCTTTTTTTTTTCTTTACTTCTTTGAGCAAAAATATCCCCCCGTCCCAATAACTTTTTTATTCTCTCTTTTTCTCTCGCTCTTCGCCTTTTGTTTGTTTTTTTGTTTGTGTGTGTGCAGATGTGTTGTTCTCTAGTCTTTTTAGTTGCCTGCTTGTCTTTTTTTGTTTTTTTTCTTTTTTCCGTTCTTTTCTGTTTCGTCTTGTTTTTTTTTGCTTCTTTTCTGCCTTTCACTAGTTTGACCGTTCATTACCGCAAAGGCCTCGCTTCTCGTTGCTGCAGCTGCGACACTTCAAGGGGGGTGGGGCTCAGGTGAGGGGCTTGGCAGCAGGGTGCGCAATATACATGTGGGCATTCATTGCAGCCGTAGAGCAATGAAAAAATGATAATCCCTAAGCCAGCACAAAACAAACCGGAAGAAAAAAAAAACATTCATTTGCCCCTGCAGGCAATGAGGGAGGTTGGGGTGCAAAAAGGTTACGCGGACCCCCCAGTCCCATTCTCGCACTCCTGCTCCTGCTGCATCCGCTTCAGTGCCCTTTGCTGTTCGTGGTACGCAACTGCCTGCTCCACCAGCTTCTTGTAGTCCCCCTCCCCCTCCTCCTTCTGCCGCAGTAGCTTGTCCTGCTCCCGCAGCAGCATGGAATACTTGTCCTTGCTGCTGAGGTGTTGGGAGCCGCCCTGACTGGTGCTCAGCTGGCTTATCACCTCCTCCTTGGCCTTTCCGCCGGACGGCATCGTGAACTTGACAACCCTTATGCCGCTTGTACTGGCGGCGCTGCTTGCCGAGGGGGATTGGCAGCGGGGGGAGGTGCCGTGCGCCCCCGCGTAGTTAGAGTACGCCGGACCGGTACGCAACCGCAAGAACGGCAGCGATGGCGAATCCCTTCCCTCGTGTTTGGCTGCCCTTGCCCTTTGCTCCACATCCTGCAAAAACTTTTCTGCCTCCCCAAGGATTTCCTCGTGCTTCGCACGACCAATCATACTATCCTGCTCCATTTCCCGCTGCTCCTGGAGCATCTCCTGCAGACGCTGCTTGCTGTTGAGCTTCCACGCCTCTACTTGCGGTGCGGCAGGCTTAGTCATTCTGCCGCCGCCGCCGCCACCACTGACGTTGCTGTTGCTGTTCTGTGACGCGTGGCCGCTCTGCTCCCCCACAGGGGGAAACCGCACCTCCGCGCCCCCGCCGGCGCCGTCAGACTTCGAGTCAACGCACTCCTGCTTTGGCGTCGCGTTGACGAGAATGCTCGAGGTTCGGACGTCCTCCCCCGCCTCAGCGTGGTGGGGCTGGTGCTTTAACTCCTCCACTGCCGGCGACTCCACCAACATCACGCTACTGATCTTTCGTGAGCTGCTGTTGCTGGACGTGCGGTCGAGTTGCTCGCCGTGCTCGGTGTTGAGAATACTGAAGACGGGCGTGGGACCAGACGGCGTGGTTCGCTTGGGCGGCGTCACCGCCCTCTGCTGCTCCACCAGCACGACGCTCGTCTTGCGGAAGGCGGAGGCGGGGGGCACCGCCGGCAACACCGGCTGCCCCTTCGCGTCCCGGCGCCCGTCCGACGAGAGGGAGTTCGCCTGCCGCCCGAACGACGGCCGCCCCCCGCCGGAGGTGGGCGACTTCGTCGCCGGCCCATGCGGCGCCTCCTCGCTGATCCGCTTCTCAGCGGGCGCACCGCTCGACGCGGCGACCTGCGGGGGGGGCCCCGCGTGGAGCGGGGCCGAGGGCGCGGCGACGGGGCTCCCCCGCCTCTGCGCATCCGTCGGCCGCGCGGTGAAGTCCAGCTCCCCCGCCGTCAGATCCTCTTCCTCCCTCTGCTGCTGCTGCGCTGGCTGGCGGTGGTGGTCGTGCTCTCGTGTCTCCTCCGCGTCGCCGCCGCCCACGAGGGGGACCGTTGCTGGGGTGACGTTCCCAGACGGCGAGTGGGCGCGCGGCGGCGGGAGGATTTTCTGCGGCTCCATCGGCTGCTGTGCCGGCTCGCCCTCCACCAGCAGGACCTGCTCCCACCCGTTGACGATGACGCTCACGTCGGTGGACGGCGCGTCTCGTTTGCCGCCCCTCCTGCCGCCGTCCGTGCCGTCGACGTCCGCTCGCTCGTTCCCTGGCAGCAAGTCAACAATGACGCGGGCGTGGCGTATGCCGCGCTCCGCAAGCACGGCACGTATGGAGTTGCACAGAGACTGAGTCGAGTACTCCATGCCGTAGCCGTCGCCGCCCTCCCGCTCTACCGCAGCTGCTTGAGGAGTGGATGCACGATTGGTGCGGAATGCTCTGGTGGCTACCGTGGCGCTGCGGCGCGTCACAAGCAGCGGCGCAGTCCCGTTGCGGTGAGGAAAGGGGGGTGGGGGGAAGACAAGGAAAAGAAGAGAAAAGGAAAAGGGAAATAGTGAAAGAGAAGGGGCAATGCGAAAAGCTGCAAAACGTTGAATGCCGCCCCCAGCATTGCATGCAGGTTGGCCTGGAGGCGTCTCATCCCACGCCTCGTTGCGCCCGCCGCTCCGCCTCATCCCACACAAAACAACTCGCAAGACTGGCAGCCGCAGCGACGCGCAAACGACCACAGTTAATTCAACAGGCAGAAAGACACATGTACACCTCTCACTACACGCACGTCAGTTAATTATTTCGCACTACTCACAATCGCCCACTTCCCCCCCACCCCCCATTTCACCCCCCCACCACACACACCCCAAAGCACCCAACAGCCTCATACGCACGGAGCCACATCTGAGTGCGGGCCACCCAACTCCTACGACGTTTCCCCATCCCACACACACGCAGACACACACACACACACACACTTCTATGTTCAGAGTCCCCATTTACTACTTCTTGGCGGCAGCCGGAGCCGCTGATGCGGCCGGCTTCGCATCAATATCCCTACAGTACGGCTTTGGCGGTTCCTTCAGGAAGAGCGAGGTTCTGCCTCCCGCCGGATCCGCCCACTTACGATCTTTGCGTTGTGTGCCGACCTTAAATGGACGCCCCTCTCGCAGGTTTTCGATAAGTTGCTTGACATCCTCCCACGTCAAGTCCTCCAGAAAGTCGTACGAAAAGTTCGGTGGGCGGCTGTAGTCGCTCACAACCAGCATGGGGGCGTTGACGCAGGCACCGAGGCACTCCATCTCCCCCAGCGTGATGAGGCCGTCCTTCGTCGTGCCGTGCATCTTCACATTCAGGTAGGCCTCCGTGCGGTGGAGAAGCTCGTCGCCGCCGCAGAGCATACACGGAGTTGTCACGCAAAACTGGATGTGGTACTTTCCCACCGGCTGGCGGTTAAACATGGAGTAGAAGGTCACGGTTTCAAAGACCTGCATTGGGGGCACCTCGCAGATGCGGGCGATCTTGTACATGGCGGTCACGGGGATGTACCCGCCCTGCTGCCGCTGCGCGAGATGCAGAAGCGGAATCACGGCGCTCTTGCGGCGGCTCCGCGGGAACTTGGGAAGAATAACGTTGTGGATCTCCTCGTAGCTCGCGGTGGAGAAGTCCCACGGGATACGGGTGTTGTTTGTGTCTGTGTTGTGGTGCCGCACCTCGCCGTGGATGAGACGGCGGGCGGGACCCTCTAAGCACGCGGCAACCGGCAGAAGCGCCGCGCGTCGCCACATCTGCAGCGCCAAATGCAAGCAACCCAACACACACACACAGAGACCCACGGACACACACAGAGAGAGAGAGAGAGACAAAAGGGCAAGACAAAGAAAACAACGAGAACAATAACAAAAAGTAAAGCGGCAGGGGCACGTGGTCCTCTCAGTCGCGTGCAGGGCGGCGTCATCGCCGCTCAGCCGCAAGCTACGCAGACAGCGACGCAGAGAAAAGAAGAAGGAGAAAAACAAAACGAAAAAAAAAAATCGCGGCGCAAATTCACTCTCGGCCCCCTCCGTCTCCATGCTACATGGCACACGCAGAAAGCGCGGGGACGGGGGCTGCTGGGAAAGTGACGCTGCGGTCGCCTTCCTTCTTCATTGCCCCGCCGGGCGGCAGGGACTCCCTCGCGCCCACCAACGATTTGTCTAGTAAAGAAGTGGAATAAGAGCAAACCAAAAAAACCAATGAAGTAATGGTGGAAGGGGGGAAGTGACGCGAAGAGAAAGGGATGGGGGAGGCGTGGCTGTGGCGTCTACCTGGTGATGCAGCGACAGGGTGGGCTTGGCCCGCACTCCTGCTTTGTGCGCGTCTCCGTACTTCTCGCGCCGTCGCCTTCGCGTCTTGTCTGTCCACCACCCTCCCCCCTTCGCGTTTCCCTGCGCCTTCATCTATCGTTCCTCCGTTCAAAACTGTTCCGCCTCCCGCCGCGCAGAGAAGACCCAGCGGGCACGAGGGGGGCGGGAGTAAAAAAGATAAAAAAAAAGGAAAAAGGGTGCGGAATACATAACTCTATCGTGCGGCAGAAGGGCAGAGACGAGGGCCGCCGGGAAAAACCCATGGCGGCGGCAGCGGTGGTGAAGGAGCTGCGGTGGCCGACCCTTGTTGCCTCTGTCCCGTGTCGTGGCGCGCTCTGCCTTTGCCCACACATGCACGCACACACGCACTTCCGCCCCGGCCCCTCCCAACGCCTGCGGTGGCCCGAAACGGTCACCGTCGCCTCTCCCTCTCGCTCTATCTCTCTTTTCTTCTTTCCTGCCGCTGGTTTTGTTGGCTTCTGCTTTGCTTTGTTTTCCGTCTTGTACCTGCTTTGGTTGCTTTGGTTTTTCATCTAGTGTTTTTTTTTCTCTTCCTGCAGTTGGGTGTGTGCGTGGAGGGGGGGAAGAGCCGCCTCGTGTATTCCTCCTCCCCTCTTCGCCCCCCTCATCCGGCCCGCTTGGATTTCTTGATGATCTTCTTCTCCAGGCTCTTGTGCACGAACGGCACCACCCCTCCGCGGGCGATGGTGGCGTTCACTATCTGGTTCAGCTCCTCGTCCCCGCGGATCGCCAGCAGCAGGTGGCGCGGCTTGATCCGCTCCGTCTTCTGCGCCTTCGCCGCCGCCCCCGCGAGCTCAATCACCTCCGACGTGAGGTACTCCAGCAGCGCGGCGCAGTAGATGGCGGCGGAGGCGCCGCAGCGCTGCTTGCGGTTCAGCCCGTCCTTCAGCCGGGAGTGGATGCGGCCAACCGGGAAGTTGAGGTCGGCGCGCGCCGCACGAGACATCTTGTCGCGCTTCCCCGCCTTGCCGCCGGTCTTGCCGCCGCGCTTCCCTTTGCCTTTGCCCTTCCCCTTCCCCCGCGCCGCGGCCGCCTTGCCGCCGTGCTTCCCGCCAGAGACAATACTCGTCTGGTCGGCCGTCGCCGAGCCGGGGCCCATCATGGGGTTCTGCGGCAGCGCCTCCTCGCCGGAGAGCGACATGACTGCACGGTCGTGTAGTGTCTGTGTGTGTGTGTGTGTGTGTGTGATGCGTGCTCCTCCCCGCACGTGCGCCAGTAACCGCGGCTGCTGTGTGGTCTGCTACTTCTTGTTCGTTGCTTGCTGAGGCTGAGTTCTTCCTGCGCGCGTGCGAAGGGCGGTGCGAGCGCCAAGGCGCAGAAAATATCCCGCGAACGGAGGGGTGGGGGACGGGGGAAAAATAAAAATAAAATAAAATAAAGAAACAAAGCGAGCCCACACACACACAGAGAGAGAGAGAGACCAAAGCAATCACAGGGGCTCCTTAACGAAAGGGCGTGCAATGAAGCCGCGGCAGCAGCGGCGAGGGGCACAGAAATAACGCGGAGAGAAGTGGAGAAATCGAGAGATGATGATAAAATATATATATATATACACGCAAACAGATACTTGCGGGCATACGTGTGTATCACCGCCCCCGGCGCTACCATAACATCAACCCCGCCTCAGCCTCCTCCTCCTCCTCCTCTGCCTGCCGTTCCTCGCGTTTCCGCAGACACGTCGCACATACCAGAGACATGGTTTCAGCCGAAATGTTGCACACGCCGGCGCCAGTCAGCAGCGCGCAGGAGTAGTGATAGGCCCTCCGCTGGCAGCTTCCGCAGACAACCAGGCACCGCCCGCGGGCCGCGCAAAAGGCGCAGGCAGAGGCACAAGAGGAACCCTCTAGCTGCTGCTGCTGCGTGCCCGTAAGCGCCAGCTTCAGAGTGGCGGCGTCCCGCACGCGGCGGTGCAGCACGCACCACTCGAGGCACGCCTGGTGCACCAGGAGCGTGGAGGAGGATGACGGGGGCGAAGCGGACGAACTGCGGCCGCGCTTTCGCCCCATCCCGCGTGCCGCATGCTCCCGGCCTCGCGTGGCGAGGCGCAGATCCCACATGGGGCCGAGAAAGTCGCTCAGCATCACCTCGTTCAGCTGCCGGAGGCGCAGGTGGTCGCAGGTGGGGTCCGCGCGGAGCAGCTGCCGCAGGAAGCGGCGCACCTGCGCACGGTCCGCGATGTCCAGCCCGCACAGCGCGCAGCAGCCGACGTGCTCGTAGGCCCCCGCCGCCGCGGGGCCCCCGCCGTCGCGACGCACCGCCACACACTGGCGGTAAGAGCGCCGCGAGGCGCTCGAAGAAGAGCTCGCCGTGGGGCTCCGCGAGGACATGCGCTGCGTCTCGGTCTCGTCGCACCCCACAAAGCCGCCGGCCGGCATCGGCGCAGGCGGCGGGGAGGCGCGCAGGGACTGCGTCGCCGCCACACTCCCGCCGCGGTGCAGGCTCGGCGTCCGCGCCGGCAACAGTCCGCCTCCGCCGCTCACGGTGGACGCCGACGCGAGCCGGTCCCTGACGACCGCCGTCAGGGAGAAGTCGTCCACCGCCGCGTCGCCCGGCGCAAGGCTCTCCGTCAGCCGCGGCGGTGGACTGTTGCCGGCGGCGGCGGCGGCGGCAGCGGCGGCAGCGGCGGAAAGCTGCGCCGCCCGCCTCAGCCGTAGCGTCTTGGCCACGTCGTGCACCAAAACCATGAGCCGCGCGAGGGTCGGCAGCGGGGCGATCGCCCGCCGACTCGCCACGGCGTGGTTGCAGAGCGGGCAGCGCGGCCGCTCCTCAATCGAGCGCTCGGCGCACCTCTTGCAAAAGACGTGGCCGCAGGAAAACACCACCGGGGAGCGAAGCAGCGCGTAGCAGACGTTGCAGACGAGGTTCTTCTCAGCCACCTGCAGCAGGGCGTGAGCCGCCATCGCAGAGCGGCCCCGCACACACACACGCACACGGTTACTTTTGCTCTCTGCGAGGCCCCGCGACGGAGCAAACAAACACCACCAGAGAGCACCCGTCGCCGTCGCCGGCCGGCAGCATGTACGCCTGCTCCAACGAGGAGGATCCACCCAAAATAATTTGAAAGGACCTTTTTTTTTTGTTTACTTTTTCCTTCGCCAAAACTTCCTCTTTTCTTCACTCAGCCTTCGGTTCTGTTGTTGCTGTTGGAACTTTCGTCCTCCGGCGTCTTCTCGGCACGCGCGCAGAAACGCAGACGCAAGGCGCCGCCGTTCCTTCTGCCCCTCCCCGCAAAGGGCGGGAAGGCGAAACAAGCAAACAAACACGGAGGGAAGGAGGGGAGAAAAAGAAAAAGAAAAAAACGTGCCAGTAACATATACCCGTTGGTGCGGCAGCACGCAGGAGCGTCCGTGGCGCACGCAGGCACCCCACCAAAAGGAGGATATAACACAGGGGAGGCACACAACACATCCACGCAGCACACCCGCCCAAAGAGTGACGGCGAGGACGCGACACAAAACAACAACAACGAGAGAGGAGCACGAAAACCGAATGCCAACCGCCTCACGAAGCAGCTTTTGCCCCTTTTCTCCTCTTTGAATCGGTCTTCCGGTCCCCTCTGGCGCGCACGCCGTCCCCCGCCTTAGCCGCCTCAGTCGGCACAGTCGGCACAGTCTTCGGCGCCAGCTTAAGGCGCCTCCGTCGCTCCGTGCGGTTCTTTTGCCGCTCCATGTTAATCTGCCGCTTAACCTGCGACGCCACGGCCTTGAAGGCGGACTTCAAGCCGGCAGTCCCGTGACTACTCCCCCGCCCCCCTCTCGCGGCGGGCTCGTCGCTCTGCAGAAACCGCACCATCAGCAGGTTGCTGCTGCGAATAAAGACGGAGCCCAAGTAGCGGTGGCGTGTCGCGGGGCTGGCGGGGGGCGCGGGAAACCCTCCCGCCGCCAGCAGAGCACGCTCAACGTCACAGAGGCGCTCGCGCCACGAGGTTGCCTCCGCCAGGCCGACGTTGTACTCGTCGTCCAGCGAGAGCAGCTTGCCTTGGTAGACGTACCCCTGCCGCGTCTCCACCTCGACGCGGAGAGGCACGGCAGGTGGCGGCGGGGCCGCCTCATGAGGCGCGTCGGCGCCGGTGTTCGTGGCACACTGCTGCTGCCGCAAGGCCTGCTGGATGACGGCCGCAGGAAGCGGCCCCCGCGGCGCCGTTGTCTCCGCAGGCATCTCGACGCTACCCCTGCCGCCCACCCCCACCAAGCAAAATACAGCAGAAGAGAAGGACAGGGAGGGCGGTGGAAGCAACGCAGCCCATCTTCGCCGTGCCGGCTAACTGAGGGGGCGACGCAAGTGCGCCGCCGCCCTGCCTGCAAAGTGGCTTGGCGTGCTGCACCCACGCGGAGACAAGAGAATATTGGGAGAAAGTTGTTGTTTTTTCTTTTTTCTCGTTGCTCTTTGCATAGACAGATAGAAATATAAATATATATATATATATATATGTATACGTATGGGTACTCCGGCACACAAAGAGGGAGAGGGGTGGGTCTACGAGCGGCCGCACACGCACACAATGATCACGAAAAGAAAAAGAAACAAAGACACAATGCAAACCATGAGGTGCACCGGCAAGATGAAACGCTTCGCGTCAGAACCGATGGGAGGAACGCGCAAGCGCAGCTGGGGCGGTGTTGATGTCCGTTGCGGCGATATGAGTGACTGTGGGTGCGTGGCAGCCAACACCACAACATAAAAAAAAAAAATCGCTATGCTACCGGACGGGGCCCTCCGCCCCCTCTACTCCCGCAAGGCGAAGGAACAACAGGCGAAGGCGGCAGCCAGCTTAGACGCGCCCGCCGCGCATGCGCCAACAAACCCGCACGCCCACAGAGGCGTTTGGCGGCAACCGGCCCCGCCGCGCTCCAACGCCCCGCCGCTGGCAACGCGCACGCTGGGGCGCACAAAAGGAAACGTGGCGGCCCAGCGAAGCGCCCCGCCGTCCATCGGGCCCCGACCGCCCCCACATCTTTTTTTTTCACCAAAATGCTTCAAAAACAAAAACAAAGACATGAAATAACTGCAGAAGAATAAGCAAACATTGCAGAACAAGGAGTTTTTTCCGCTTTCCTTCTTCTCCTGGGCTTAGGCCGTGCCTGTTCGCGGGGGCCTTGTCGCCACCACGTAGGTATTAGACCGCAAGTCCAGGCAACAGCGCAGGAGGGGGTCAAACACTAACGGACCGCCCCCATCCTCAAACGGTTGCGGATTCTCGTCCACGTTCTCTGGCGGCTTGCCAAGAGGTGCAGAGGCGCGTGACTGAGGCCTGACGGTGCTCCGAGAAGCATTGCCACTCTCTACGGCAACGTCCTCCCTCGGGCCGTCGCGGCGCGCGCCTCGTCCGTTGCGCGTCCCGGAAGACGAAGGCGAGGGCAGGAAGACGAATGCAGTGGAAGGGTCTCCCCGTGATGCCGACTGCTGTAGCTCCTGCTGCGGCTGCCGCGGCCGCGGTCGCGAAGGCGATTTCGGCGGGAGCGAGAGTACGCGCAACGGCGGACGCGCCTCCTCCTCCTCGTTATTCCTCTCCTCATCACCGCCACAGTTGCTATCCACACTTATAAAACGACCAGTATTCGCCGCAGACACGCCCAGACCGCCGGCACTGGTAATCGGCGGCCGCCTGTAGTCTGCCGCGCTGATGTTACTCTCCAGCTCTTCCGCGCTGCGGCACGGCAGCGGCGAGGGGCGGGGCGAATTGCTCGCCGCGGTTGCGCGGGTCTGCAAGGCCTCCATGTTGGCGAACGCACCCACGGCATGCTCACCGAGTCGGCCACGCTGAGGCCTGGCACGCGCCGGCCATGCCTGCTCCACGGGCGTGACGGCGGCCGCAGGGGTCGTGGGCCCGGCGTTGTGGAGAGACGAGGGCTCGGAGAGCGCCAGGCTGTCGCTCTGCGCCAGCGGCGTTGCCCCGCAGAAGGCCCACTGCGGCGCGAGCTCCTGCAGCCCCTTCTCGGAAGAAAGGGAGTCAAAACAAAGCCGGTCTACCTCGCGTGGCTGCGGACGCGAGGGAGGAACGGGTGGCTTTTGGCAAAGCGCACTCAAATCCCCAGGCACCACAACAGCCGGACGCCCGTGTTCCTCTGACATGCAGACGTTTACCGTAAAACCCTCGTCCTCCTCGTCCTCCTCGTCGTCTGCAGCGCCCCCACGCAGCTCTTCTCCGCTGGGGTTGGCGGCGCACACGTGGGCGACTCCCGCAGCAGCAGTGCTGCGCAGACCGCCGCGAGGGGTCTGCGTGTGGCGCACGGGAGTGCAACCCCCCAGCTCCTCCACACTCTGTCTCTGGGGTGTTGCAAGACGCGGTGACGAGCAAAGCCCCCGTTGCTGTTCCTCCCGCACCTCCTGCCGCTGCTGCTGCTGCGGTTGCGCTTTGCCACCGCAGCGGAGTAACCGCAGGACTTCGCCCGACGAGTACGTCCGTGAACTCCCGCCGCGGCTGTGGTTGCTGCTGCCCCCGCCGGTGGCACAGCGGGCGTCGCCGGAGAGCGCGTATCCGTCGGCGCGGCACACGTCGTCGTCGTCGTCGTCGTCGTCGTGGTTGTTTGCGCTCTCACGAATCAACGCCTGAATGCACTTCACGCGTTCCCGCATCAAATCCAGCGTCTTCGCATAGTTGGCCACCGACGGCGCCTGCGCCTGCGCCTCGGGCGGCGTTCCCCAAGCGTCGCCCAGCGCAGCGTCCGGGGGGGGCGCAGCGGGCGCGTCCACCGCCTCAGTCTTCTCTCGCCGTTCCGGGGAGCCGTGGCAGCGCGCCGGCGAGGCCTCTGCCGCGGCCGTCGACGCCGTGGCGGCCCTGCCGTTGCTACCACGGCCGGCTAACGCTGGCCGCGACTCATCCGCCGCCGCCTCATCAAAGAAGGCGCGGCTCATGTCACTGGGGTCCGCCACCTTCGTTGGGCGCCGAGCTGCGGAGTCTCGCACGACGCCGAACGCGCCCGTCCCAGCCACCCGAAGCGGCGGCGGGGTGGGTGTTTGCACGCTTGCGTCGCGCGTCGGCGTCGTGCGAGGGGTCACCCCCGCCAGCGTTGCCGCCTCGCGCGTCCCACTCGGCCGTGTCAGTTGGCGTTCGCCGGTCTGGCAACCTTTCGTGGGGAGGGCGGCGAGGCGGCCGCGTCTCACCGCCGCAGCCGCCGGAACCCCGCGCGTGCCTCCGCCGCTGCCGCCGCTGCTGTCAAGCGACGCGCCCGCGTCGACGTCGGCGTCCGACGCAGCGGCAGAGGAGTGAAGCGGCACGCCGGGGACGGGGCACTGCGGAGGGTCGCGGGGCTCAGACGCGGCGGCCTCAAGGCGGTGGTGGGGGGCCTGTGGCGGAATCCCCTGCTGCAGAAACGCCTCCTCGCAGGTGCGAATAACCCAGAAATTCACAGGCACCTCCGGCGGCAGCCGCAGCGACAGGGGCCACTCCGCCGCTGCCGCGTCCCCGTGTGAGGGGGGGAGCTGCGGCATGCCAAGCACCCGCCGTATGCGGCAGACGTTGCTGCAGCTGAGGGTGACAGAGAGCAGCTTGCGCGACTTCACCAGCTCCGCCGTGGAGAGGCGGCCGCCTGAGTTGGAGAACAACGCCGCATGAATCTGCGGCACGTCGAGGACGATGTTTGTCCACACACCCGCGGCAAAGCAGCGCAGCGGCACCTTCACATGCTGCGCACACCGCTGCAGCCTCTGGAAGGTGCTGCTAAACACAAGCCGATGACGGCCCAACTTGTCCTGCAGCGTCAGCTCCACCGTGAGGGAAAAGACGGTGCGTGCAGACTCTTCGCAACAAATCTGCAAGACCACCACACGCTGCGATGCGGCCGATAAACCCCCACCACTCCCACCGCTGCTACTACTAATGCTGCTGGCGCCTCCCGCACGCGACGAGGTGTTGCGCAGAAATGAGATGTGGGCGGAGGGCGAGGCGCGAATCAGCTGCGACCTGGTTTCCTTGTCGTAGTACCGACCGATAGATCCCCCCTCCACATGCAGCCCGGCGAGCGGCTTGGAGCCCTGTGGGCTGTAGAGCACATAGGACGGAACGGCGTCCTCCGTGGGGCTCCTGGCGAGGGAGGCGTGGCTGGTGGTGAAGGAGTGCATCTATGCTGCGTGGACGCAAGTCTCTGAACTACCGCTGCGGCACACACGCAATGAAAAGAAGAAAGAAAAAAAGCGCAAGAGCAATACTCACAATAAAGAGAGAAAGAGTGCGTGTGTGTGAGAGAGAGAGAGGAGAGATGAAGACGAGCTCCGAAGAGAAACAGGCGAGCGACTGAGGCATGCGGGAGTCTACTCCGTGGAGGCAGCAAGCCTCGTCCCTCCCTTTCTCTGTGGGCATGCATGTGAAGAAGACACAAGTCCCCCGCCAGCACCATCCGTCGCCCCGAAAGCCGAAGAAAGCAAACGCGGAGCAAACCGGAAAGGCAGGGACGCCCTCAAGCGTAGAAGTGCGGATACGCATTCTCAAGCTGCCGCAGAAGTTCATGCGACGAACGCCTTGATGAGGGCGGCACGTTCCCTTTCCCTTTTTCCAACGTCACCGTCCACGCTGCGCCCGCCTGCTCCGGCCCTGCCCCTTCCCCCGCGTCGCTGCCGTCCCACGCCGCATACGGCAGAAGGTGGAGATGCATCACCTCCTCAATCTGCACGGCGTACCGCGGCAGCGCCAGCTCCGTCCCCGACTGCCACTCCGCCCCGTTACCCGCCGCCTGCATCATTGCGTACCCCGCGTTGGGGCGGATCCCCGTGCCCGACGCAACACACACCGCCTTGTGACTTTCGTCGTCCACCAACGTCGTCCGGTCGAACCCGACGTACATCCTGCCGCACAGCCACCGCCGTCGCTGCCGGGCACTGCCGCTGGTCGGGGCGTACAACACGGTGAATACAGAAGAGCCGCCGGTGGTCCGGGCCGTGCTCATTGGGCCTCGCGGCTGCCTGCGGTGCCTACGCACTCCTCCTCGTTCGCCTTGGAGGCAAAAAAAAAAAGGGGGGGGGGGGGGGGGTCGGCCACGTGTGTGACGCAGCAAGCGGGGACAAGGGTGCGGAGGGAGGCTTTAGGAGGGGGGGGGGGGCAATGGAAACACGTAAGGAAGCAGATGAGGTGCAGAGAAGACACGCGAGTGCAACAAGAAGGAGGAAGGGAACGAATAAAAGAAGTGCATAAAATGTCCGGGGTGAGGCCGCTGCCGCCGCCGCCGAGGAAGAAAGCGCGGAGGGGCAAACCCGCAGCAATCAGCGAGCACACGGCCGCAGCATGGTGGCCCAGAGGGAGTCCACTACACGCCGCACTTTGTCCTCGAGGCGCTTTAGCGCCTTCGTCGTAGTAGGCTCCTTGCAGGCTGAGAGCACCACAGGGACGCGTGAGGTGCGGCTCTGCCCCGGCAGCCACATACCCAGCTCGGCGGCCACCATACCGCAGGCCAGCTGGCGAACCACCACGCGGCACTGGCAACCGAGCGTCAACTCTGCGCATGACTCCAAACGGCGCTTTGCGCTCAGGCGCACGCAGCACTGCTCCTCCTCCCTCAGTCGCCGCAGAAGCCTTAGCAGCCGCCCCAGCGACTTTCTGGTGTGCTCGTCCGCGTACTTACTAGTGGCCTCCGCCAGCAGCCGGGTCGAGGCAAAAAGCAGGTGCTCCGCTGACGGCCCTCCCTCCTCATTCAATCCCGCAAGGCAACTGTATTCTATTATGCGTCGCTCGTGGAGCGTGTGGAGTGGCGTCTCAAGCACGCGCTTGTCGGCGGGGCTCCAAGTGCGCACCACGAGTTGCACCCGCAGCGGCGCCTCGCTTTCGCGATCCCACGCATCTCCACGCCCGCCCTCAAAGCGCAAGGAGACTCTGCCGTCAAACGCAACGCCCAACGCCCCGCAGCAGGCGTGCCACGCGCTCTTGCCGTAGTTGGCGGTGGGGTCCCACAAGGTGAAGGCGTCATCTGCCACGGCAACGCTAGTGGGGTCCTGTCGCTGCTGCCGCAGGCGATCCAGCAAGGCGTCAGCGGCGGTAAGGTAGGCATCCACGCCTCGATCCGCACAGTGCTCAAGGAGGACCTTCGGCGGGTCCGCATCAGAGGTCGCCGCCGTCGCATTCACCTCCTGCAATTGGAAAGGGTTTTGAGGCACAACAGTGCACTTGTAGCCGCCGCCGCCACTCAGAGCGTCCATGTTCCGCGCCACGGCGAATGTGAACCCCTCACAGCAGCCCAGCCGCCACAAGTCGTCGGGGCGGTGCAGAAGCTCGCAAAGTTGCTTGTGACGCTCCACCTGCTGCAAAACGCTAGGAAAGTTTGTCCGTAAGGCCTGTGCGGCGGCTGTGGCCCAGGCGATTCGCTTGTTGCGGCCTCGGCCAAGGCCAAGTGGAAACGGCACTCGCTCAGGCGCGGCGTTGCCGTACCCTGCCAGTGCGGCCACGTGCAGCAGGCAAACCACCTCCCGTGTGTGGGAGTCAATCGTGTAGGTGCAGTGGTACTTGCCGGCCACGCCCTGCAACACCTCGCCCAGGAGGTTGACGGGGGTGTAGAAGCGAGCCGAAAAGTGCGGAAAGTTGTCGCGCGGAATGAGGGGCCCGGCGTCCTGTGCGGACCGAAGAGCGGCCCCGGCTGCCTCCTCACCGGCAGCGACCCGTAGCGCCTCATGGCACGCCGCCACAAGGGTCGGGATCACGCCCCTTGCCCTTGTCACAGAGGCGGCGCAGCGAATTTGCCGGAGCGGCACCTGCACCTCCACCGTGCCCTCCAGCCAAGTGGCGGCAGCGTCATTGGTGCGCACGAAACACACACGCGCATTGGAGCGTGTTGCGCCCACCAGCGCCCTCAGCAGAAGTCCAGCCTCCGAGTCAAAGCCGCCCGGCGTAATATTGAACCCGCGAGAGTCACGCTGCAGCCTCACCGGCGGCGGGAAAGCGTCCTGCTCGGGGACGTTGAGTGAGACGGCCAGCTCGTTGACGTGCCTCACTGCCCTCCAGAGGGTGGCGGCGTGCGTCTCGGCGAAGAGCACACGCTGCCCACAAAAGTCGTAGAAAAGCATGGCGCGTATGATGTAGTTGCTCACGGAGCCTGAGAGGGCCAACTCCGCGGCGTCCGAGCGCTGCCTCGCCATGGCAGCCGTGGCCGCCGTCAACCGTGCGGTGCGTGTGCCAATCTCAAAACAGCGGATCTGGGGGGAAGCCATGAACCAGGAGTACAGCAAAAAGTCAATCGAACGACGCCGGGTGGGGGAGTTGAGCGCAATAAGCGGAAATGTCGTGCGATGAGGGAAGACGCGCCCGTACATGGCGCAGACAACGGACAAAAGCAACCGCAGAGGCCCGCTATGGTTGTGTTGGGGCGAGAGGAAACAGTAGACGCCGTTATTGTCCGTCACCGATTGCATATCGCTTTCCACCTCCACGCGCAGGTTGGGGCCCCAGTGCGCCACAACACGGGTGTAGACGGGCACGTCGCCGTAGACCCCCATCGCAAGCTCCTGCACCCGCTGCGGGACGTCGTGAACGGCCTTCTGAAAGAACTCCAGCGTTGGAAACGACCGCTGCGACAAGCGCAGCTCAAGCCGAATCTCTTGAATCATAAGAAGCAGATCGGGACAGTAGTAGGAAGCCTGCTGCAGCTCCCGCTGCTCGGTTGCCGCCTCCACCGTTCTCCGTGGGTCGATGTCCCGCGCAGCGTACCCCACCTCAGCAACGTCGGGCGCGACGTCGTGCAGGAGGCCCCTGCATGTCACGTCGGGGGCCTCAAGAACGTGGCACAACGGCAGTGACTGAACCTCCAGCGACGGCGAGGAGAGAGTTAAGACGTTGGGGAGACTCCCTGCACCCGAGGCGGCCTCCACAACCTGCGCGTCGGCAGCGAAGAGTTGAGCAACGAAACCCAACAGCTGTTGCCTACTCTGCCGCTCATGCGCACTAAAAGGCATCTCGGCCGGGGACCAAAGAGAAATTTCACGCATGCAAGCAGCACGCTGCGTCCCCGCCAGCGCCTCCATTGTCGCGAGAAGCCCCCAGAGGCGCCCCAGTAAACCGGCGTTGACGGCCGGAGCTGGATGCAGCTTCGCTGCCGGCCTCCCTCGCCGGGTCGCCGCGTTCGCCGCACGCAACACTGCGGCTACAAACGTTCGATAGGCCTGCGTGTCCGCCCCGCCCTCCGTGGGCTTCACCTCCAGCCGCAACCGGGGCCCCTGCCCCAACGGCTTTGCCTCGGTGGGAGCAACCCCCAGGCAAATGCGCGGCATCCCGCTCCCGCCGAGCTGCACTCCCTCATTTTGGCTCGCAAAGCAGGCGGCCAGACGAGTGTTCACGACGAAGAGGCAGCGTTCGAGGGAGTAGGGCACAGGCCTGACAGGGAGCGTGCCGTGCGCCTCCACAAAGGACCGGAGCGACAAAAATGACGTCTCCTGCGAGGTCAGCGTGGCGCCGCGCAAGCCGCACGGAAGTACCTCGGCGCCACGCACGCCCGCGTTCAAGACAGTGCAGAGCTGCATGAGGACCGAGCTCACAACCCACCTCGCTGGCCACGCCAGCGCCGAGGCGTACAGCAGCCGTGCGGAGCCTTCGTCATCTCCCACCAGAACTCGTTGAAAGGCCAACGGTGGCGAGGGAAGCGGCAGCGTCAGCAGGGTTGCGTTGCCTGCGGCGTCGCCGGCGGTGAGCGTCAACGACTGGGACTTGATCCTCGACAAAACTGCAACCCGCACCGTCTCAGTCTCGCCAGGAAGCGGCAGCCACTTCACTGCACCTGAACCCGCGACATTTAACGAGTTTGCGAGAAATGCTGACAGGCCCACCGACTCCCAGTCATGCTGCAGTTCGTCACGTTGGACGCTTTGCAAGTAACGCCAAGCCTCCTCCTCCCTCCCGCGATGCTCCGCTACGGCGTGGTCATCAAGCTCTGCCAGTGACGCGGCAAACCCCCGCTTCATCGCGTCGCGCGGGCAGCGTCCGCTGCCGCGGCCAATGGCAATATCACTCACGATGTCATATTCGTGGCTCCTTCGCGCGCCAACTTCGGTGGCCGCGTCTTCGTCGTTCAGTGGAAGTTCCGCGGTCACCGTCACCACGAACTGGTCCGCCGCACGGTCGTTTACCCGCGCCAGGTGAATCACCGCCTTGGCGTCCATGCTGCGAAGCGTCGCGTTGAGCTCCACAAACACGTCCGAATCCACCGCCTGCAGCATGTGACGTAAGTCAGCCTTGGAGGAAAACAGGGCTAGTGCGGCTCCGCGTACACGCTCCGCGGCCTCCGCGGCACTCCCCGCCATCTCCGAGGCCAGACGAAGCGTGCAGGAGCCACTCAGAGGGTAGCAGACAGTACCTTCGAAGTGGCGATCATTGCGCCGACTCGTGCGAACGCGCGCATCGCCAAAGATGTCGCCAAAACGGGAGGTCAAGTGACGACTTTGGGCGGCCAGCAACTTCAGCTGGCGGTTCTTGGCAATCCTCCCTGCCAGTGGAACCGCCGCCGACATCCGACACCAAGCTGTACTACACTCTCCTCACAGCCCGGGGCACCCCGCTTCCTTCGTTTGCCTCCGCTAGTTCCAACCGCTGTCGGAAGAAAAGCGGCAGCCAGAGGGAGAACTAAAAAAAAAAAGGCTCGACAAGAGTGATCCAAAGAGGGGGGGGGAAGAAAGGGACGTGGGCAATGAGATGCTCATGGCATGACCGCTCCCAGCCTCGCCTCCGCGCCTGGAAAGTTCCCGCGCGTGTGGGATAGGGGACAAGAGGCATGGGCGTAGCGCAATGAGACGCTTCCCGCAAAGCCTCGGTGTACAAGACGGGGAGAATTCACATTAATAAAAACATAAACGCTTCCCCCTCTTAACCAGAGGCAACGCTGCCAGGAAAAGAGGGGCAACTTCCAAAATACATCGCGTACTGAATATAAATATATATTTGTTGCTGCTGTGTTTTTTCCTTTTCAGCTTCTTTCACCTTCTTTCATTTTGTTTTTTCTTTTTCCCGTTTTGAATCGCATTTTCTCTCCCGGAGCCTCTTCCTGGTGGCGCACTACAAA